AGGAAAATCTGAATTTTTCTTCTTTGGCATGTTCATGAGCAAAAAAATATTTCTGCATTTACTGTATCCTCTGGCAATGCTGCAAGTGATTGCAACCAAAGTATGAAAGTAGCATAAATACTTTTTAAATTTTAATATTGTGAAAAGTCATGAAGTCAAAATATCCAAAAGCTTGACACCTTTCTTTTCACATAGAAAAATCAATACTTGTTTTGTGTAAACTATTGCATCTACCTGAAGCACGCGTCAAATTAACTTGTCATGTATAAATTTTGCGTCCATAATTTCAAGCAAACATTCAAAAGACTATGTATAATAATGATGTATCATACATACGTTTAAAAGATATAAACCTCATAAAGGCAGAAATATGGTTTACCCCTGAAACTTAGTACGAACAACCTTTTACATATCCAACCTTTTCAAAATGTATCTAAGACAAATGAAATATTATGTGGAGCAATTTACTGCATTAAATTAAATAATTTGCTCTATTTCATGAATAAGCTGGATCCTCTGGTTACAGATAGACAAAAGAATTACACAAAAAAAGAAGAAGAATAAAACCCAATGTCAGAGTAATTTACTGCATCAGATTAAACAATTTTCTCCATTAGTTATAACCTGTTTGGCCAAGCTTCTTTTGAGGTAAAAGTGCTTTTTTCTAAAATGAAGGTGTTTGGTCAAGCTTTTGAAAGGAAAAAAAAGTAATTGTGAGGAGAAGCAGAAGCAGTTTTTGAGAAGTAGAAAAAAGTAGCTTATCTCCAAGAGGATTTTTTTTTAAAAATACTTTTGAGAAAAATACATTTAGAAATACTTTCTAAAAGTTAAGCCAAACAATAATTGCTACTCAAAAGTACTTTTTAAATTAAATATCCAAACACAAACTGCTTCTCACTAAAAGTATTTTTTTAAAAGCACTTCTCAAAATAAGTTAATTTTAGAAGCTTGGCCAAACATGCTATTAGTCCAAGGGAGTTACAGCACCAGCATCTTCATAAAAAATTCTAAGCGTTTGAATTGAAACAGTTTTCAATAAATCGTTATCTAAAAGCATATCCCTCCTCATTGCCCTCGCAGTTCTTCATTGCTGTTACTCTTCATTGGTCTCTTCTGTTACAACAATTATATGGAAGGAAAAAAGAGCAAAGAAATGAGAAGAGAAGAGAAGAAAAAATAGCGAAGAGAGAGAATGTTACCAAGTATCGAGTTCCATATTTCAGTTAGAAGGTAGTGACTTATGCAATGCATTTGATGGGATTTTCTCTGATTTTAGCTTGAGAGGAAATTTGTTTTGACTGATTTTTTAGGGTGAAGAGAGAATCCCAAAGTCACCAGATTTTCTTCTATCCTTCTTTAATGCATCATTCAATGCAATCTGAAAACTGAAATTGGGAAGTTATTCTCAATTAAAACAACCCCTCATTTGCCTTTGTAACTCTTCATAAAAAGGCAGTTACGGAAAAAATAAAAAGAAGAGCGAAAATTTGCAACTCTTCGTAAATAAGGAGTTATTGAGAAATAAGAAAAGAGCAACAATAGAAAAAATTCAAAAAATATGAGAAAAAAGATAAATAGCTTTCTTGGCTTATTAGATGTGCCACATCAACTCTTCCATTCCCATCTTTATATTTATATACATAGATTACTCATGGCCAAGCTAGAAAAATCCGCTTATTTTGAAAAGTACTTTAAGTACTTTTCAAAAAATATTTTTGGAGAGAATCAATTTGTGTTTGGCTAATCAATCTGAAAAGTATTTTTGAGCAATAATTTGTATTTGATCAAGCTTTTCAAAAAGTGCTTTTAAGTATCAAATTACAAATAAGAATATGAATAGATTTACTTAATAGTTAATATTATAAGTGTAGACAATTAAAATTTTATTAAATTTGAATCTACAAGTAATTTGGATTTTATCATATATTAAATACATATTAGTCCAAATGATACTATGGGCTAGTATAATCAGGTTGATAATTTAAATTTAAAATAAATTGATTTAAATAAAAGTCCAATGTATTATTGGTCTAGCCCGTCAGTTGGTCTTCTATCAAATGGACCGGCCCATAAGCCTCAAGCCCAATGATCCACTAGGGTTTTCTTGGAGATTACTCCACCCCATACCTATATAAAGGGTCAAGGGAGAAGGCTAAGATACAAGCAAGTAAGCAGAAAGAAAAGGCTAAAGAAGCTCTAAAAGAGTAGCATCAAGGTCTCCATCCATATCTGCAATCATCGTTTGTGGTCAAATTCCAAAGGCGAACTCAAATCATAGGCGGACGGCTTCAAATCTTCCGTTCGTAATAACCCAACACCAAATCTTGGTTTGTGACGACCTTCAAATAGTTCGTGACGTACTACAAATCTAAAATCCGTCAAGTTCAAGCTCTCAATCTCTTGAACCATCGTTCGTGAGGAGAAGAATCAGAGGACTACATCTCTTTAGATTTAGAGATATTTTAGAGATTGTAACCCCATCACTTGAAATTGAATATAATATTTGTCACTACATTTCTTGTCTTGCTTATTATTTTTCAGGAACAAAGTTTAGTTGTTACAAATTTTGGCATGCTCAGTGGGACTATCTCTACCTCTCATCTCTTCTCAACTCTCAACATTCAAGATCACTAAGATGGCTTCAAAAAAGATCGACTCAAGAGTTGTTGACTTCAAGTTTTCTTTTGACGTTGAAAGTATCCTGAACGTTACTATGGGGAGCCTTGGGCGAATCACCCGGAGTAAGGCGAACATCTTGACAACAAGCACTCCAAGTGTCGTCTGCACTAATGCATGCTTTGAGATCTTCATCATCCGAAGAAGAAAGGTCCTCTGCTAGCAAGTCAGAGAGAAGAGATAATATTGCAGAAGTTGTGGAGAAAGCTCTTACTCAACTTACTTTATACAATACCAAGAGTCAGCTTACCCAACCCGATAATGAAGTCTTAAGTGTTGGCTCTACACCAATCTCGCCACATGACATGTTCCAAACTGAGTTCAATCCGTGGGAAGGTCTCGGTTATTCTTCATCATCTGCAATAATCATAGAGGCAATAATGACTAATACTTCGACAATTGAGGAGCAACTCCAAACCTGACAAAGGCGATCGATGGCTTAACAAAGTATGCTAAAGATAAAGATGTCTGTATCGCAAAATTGACAGGCATAGTTGAAAGCATGATGGATGGAGTATCAAGTCATGCACCTGGAAAGCTTCCTGAAGTCCATGAGAAGGCTGATCCTCCAACAAAAAAAGTGTCATCCGCCAAAGAATTTCATGTCTCCTCCGAAGGATCAATTCCCATAGAACAATTGAAGAAATTCATTATGGAAACTATCAAGGATAAGTATGAGGTCGCTTCAAAGTCCGCTCTCACGTACGCAAAGTCGTATACTGCAAGAATCAATAGCTTGAAGATGCCTGCTGGCTATCAACCTCCCAAATTTTAGCAGTTCGACGGCAAGGGAAATCCAAAGCAACACGCCGCGCACTTTGTTGAGACATGCAACAATGCAGGGACTTATGGAGATTACCTTGTCAAGCAGTTCATCCGCTCATTAAAGGGGAATGCTTTTGATTGGTACACCGACCTCGAGGCTGGATCCATTGATAGTTGGGAGCAATTGGAGCAAGAGTTTCTCAATCGCTTTTATAGCATGAGGTGTACTGTGAGCATGGTGGAACTTACGAACATTCGCCAACAAAAAGATGAACCAGTTATTGACTTTATCAATCGATGGAGGAATGCAAGCCTTAACTGCAAAGATAGGCTAAGCGAAGCTTCTGGCATAGAGATGTGCATCCAAGGAATGCATTGGGGACTTCGTTACATCTTGCAAGGAATTAAGCCAGGACATTTGAAGAACTTGCCACCCGTGCTCATGATATGGAGTTGAGCACGGCTTTTGCGGGAAATAAAGGGCTGCCCATCTACGAACCTCGCAAGGGAAGGGATAAGCAAGAAGTCAAGAAATGGAGCAAGTTCGTACCGAAGAATGAAAGCAAAGAATCCATGAACGTCAACGCCTCTCCTTTGAAGTTTACTACCACGGTGAGCAAGAAACAGAGTATGAAAACAACTTCCTCTCAAGACAATGCAAATCGGAAGTTGACTCTCAAAGAGACGCAAGAAAAGAAGTACCCATTTATAGACTCCGATGTGCCTGCAATATTTGAAGAACTTCTCGAGTTAAAGCTTATTGAGCTGCTAGAGATGAAGTGTCCAGATGAAGCTGGAAAAAATAATGACCCGAATTACTGCAAATACCATCGGCTTGTAGGTCACCCTCTTGAGAAGTGCTTTGTTTTCAAGGACAAAGTTATGGATTTGGCTCGTCAAAAGAAGATCGAGCTCGAAGACGAAAATGCGAGCACAAACCATGTGTCCATTGCCTTTGGATCATTCGATCTAATTGAGACATGCACCTATGAAGGGAATGAAGATGAAGAATTGTTGGAGGATGACAAAGTCCGAGTTGATCAACTTGATGAAGAAGGATGGACCCTGGTGACTCGTCGAAGACGCCATAAATTGAGTCCGAAAAAAGGATCAACGAAGCAACCTACAAGGAATAAGATGGTGAGAAGACCAAAGAAGCTACAAATGGTTAAGAACCCAAAGAAAGTGGAGATAGAGACACACTATCACCAAAAGCCATGCCACCCGGTGACTTTGGGAGAATTTTTGCCGAGTTGGTTTTGCATGAGGATTTATGACGATGATGACAAGACCTTGTGTTGTAATGCTAATAAAGAAGAAGAGGAAAAGAACAAAGTCAAGTCAACACTCTCTCCATAACTATCTAATAGTCTTGTTGAGTCCTCCTTCCAAGAAGCAGATGTCTGTAATGCGAAAATCACCTTCACTGAAGACGATCTCCTACTTGGTGAGACACCACACAATCGCCCTTTGTTTATGGTGGGTTATGTGCTTGAGTGGAGGATAAACAGAATCTGATAGATGACGGATCTGTAGTTAACTTTCTTCCCATTTGCATAATGAAAGAACTCGACATCTCAACTGAAGAACTTTTTGAAAGCCGACTGATGATTCAAGGATTCAATCAAGGGGGACAAAGGTCCATAGGATCTATCAAGATGGAAATCACCATGGGAGATATGCAATCAACTGCATGGATGCATGTGATTGATGCAAAGACTTCATACAATTTGTTGCTTGGCAGGTCGTGGATACACGAGAACAAAGTTGTCCCATCAACTTACTACCAATGTTTGAAATATAATAAAGATGGAGTCGAAAAGAAGATAGTTGCTGACGTCAAGCCGTTTGCGGAAGCCGAGGCATACTTCGCTGATGCAAAGTTCTACTTGAAGAACCATATCATAAAAGGAGTAAAAGTTGATGACATCACGAAGGCCAAAGGTAAGAAAATAGCTCCTTTATTTCGTTACGTCCTAAAAGTGAAGAAAGATGAAGGAGAATCATCAAGCCTCCAAAAGGGTGCACTAAGAGAATTAACCCTTCCTATCAAGCAGATTGATACCATAAAGTTATTTTCAAAGCTACTGGAAAAGTTTGTGTCCCCTAACATGCCTCAAAATAAGGCACTCCCCACGAAACACATAAAAGAAGGTTTTGATCTGAATGCTTACAGGTTATTCGCAAAGGCGGGATATGATCCCAATGAACCATCTAAGCTAGGGAAGCTCCCATTTGAAGCTACTAGGAAAGAAAACATGATGAAGGATAAAGCGCATGTGATGAAGCAATCACGTGAGGGTCTAGGTTACAAACAACCCCTACCAGTTCGCATCTCTATTAGAAGAGCAAGTATTGACTATATCACAATGGAAGATGAACCCGCTGATATTAATAAAAGGCCTTCTATCCTTGATCGACTTGGAGAACCAACTACAAGAACTTCTGTATTTGAGAGGTTGGGGCCATTGAAAAAGAAGAAGAACAAGTCCCAAAGAAATTATGAAAAAATAAGAAGACCTTTGCCATCTAGAGTCCAAAGTATCTCCAAAGAGTGTCAAAGCCCGATCCCTTCCAGAATGAGGCGACAATCAGAACTTTTGATTTCATGTAGAGAGGGACTCAAAGTGAAGACTCACACAGTGGTCCATACTAGAGAGCGTGGCGAAGATGAAGAAAGTGTAGGATCTTCATATCACATTACTACGAATGAGGAGCAATACACTTCATTCCTAAGGAAGGTTGACAAAAATTTGGGAGATGCATCTTGGTGTGGCCATATATCTTTTAATGATAGTGATCCTCAAGAAGACGAAGATGTCGAGGACACTCCTGCGGAACTAGAAGAAGGAATTAAAATGATTGCTGATGCATTGAAAGAAGTCAACCTTGGCACTGCAAAAGACTCCAGGCCCACCTACGTAAGTCCCCTATTAACCACAGATGAAGAAAGCACTTATGTGGAGCTACTCAAAGAATATAAAGATGTCTTTGCTTGGAGCTACATGAGATGCCTGGTTTAGATCCTAAAGTAGCAGTTCATCATCTTGCGGTCAAAAAAGGAGCTCGTCCTGTTAAGCAAGCCCAAAGACGCTTCAGGCCAGAATTGATCCCATCAATCGAAGCCGAGGTCAATAAACTCATCGAAGCTGGTTTCATTCGGGAGGTTAAATATCCTACATGGATTTCAAGCATTGTTCCCGTGAAGAAGAATGGCCAAATTTGAGTTTGTGTCGATTTTAGAGACCTCAATAATGCATGCCCTAAGGACGAATTTCCGCTCCCCATTCCAGAGCTTATGATTGATGCCACCACGGGATATGAGGCAATGTCTTTCATGGATAGATCATCTGGCTACAATCAAATACGTATGGCACCAAAAGATGAAGAGCTTACTGCATTTCGCACTCCTAAAGGCATTTATTGCTACAAAGTAATGCCTTTTGGCTTGAAGAATGCTGGTGCCACATATCAAAGAAAAATGCAGAATATCTTTGACGACATCCTCCACAAGAATATGGAATGCTATGTGGATGATTTAGTGGTGAAATCAAGAAAGAGAGGAGACCACTTGCAAGACTTAAGAATGGTGTTCGAACGTCTCAGGAGATATCAACTTAGAATGAACCCGTTGAAATGTGCCTTTGGAGTTACTTCTGGAAAATTCCTTGGCTTCATTGTTCGACATCGAGGGATTGAGATAGATCAAGCCAAAGTTGACGCAATCTTGAAGATGCCCGAGCCCAAAAATATACATGAACTGAAAAGTCTACAAGGAAAATTGGCGTACCTTAGAAGATTCATCTCAAATCTAGAAGGGAAGTGACAACCTTTTAGCCGTCTTATGAAGAAGGGTATACCTTTTTAATGGGACCAAGCTTGTAGCAATGCATTCCAAAGCATCAAATCCTACTTGATGAAACCTCCGGCTCTAGCAGCCCCTATACCAGGAAAGCAACTGATTCTATATATTGCAGCCCAAGAAAGGTCAGTTGGAGCCCTTTTGGCCCAAGAGAATGGTGAAAGTAAAGAAAATTCCCTCTACTACTTGAGTAGGATGATGAACCCAAATGAGCTGAAGTATTATCCGATCGAAAAGTTGTGTCCGGCGTTGGTTTTTGCAATTCAAAAGATGAAGCACTACTGTCAAGGTCATGTCATCTGTCTCGTCTCAAGGGCGAACCTGATCAAGTTTGTTATGTCAAACCCATCCTCAATGATCGATTATCAAGGTGGTACCTCTAATTTCAACAATTTTAGATTGTGTATATCCCACAAAAAGCTGTGAAAGGACAAGCTTTGGTAGATTTCTTGGCATATCATCCAATTCCTGATGATTATGAGTTGACTGATGAACTACCTGATGAGGATGCGATGGTCATCGAAGTGCAACCACCGTAGAAAATGTATTTTGATGGTGCCGCACATCGTGAAGGAGCTGGTGTAGGTGTTGTGTTTGTCACTTCTCAAGGGGAAGTCTTACCATATTCCTTCACCTTAACACAATATTGCACAAACAACGTTGCAGAATATCAAGCACTCATACTTGGGCTTGAGATGGCCGTTGATATGAGACAACTCTAATTACATATTTTTGGAGACTCTGAGTTAGTGATCAATCAATTTCTAGGTAGCTACGAGGTCAAAAAGTCAGAATTGCGTCCTTATTATGATTATGCGTTGAAATTGATTGGATGGCTTGGCAATGTAACTCTTCAGCATGTGCCAAGGAAGGAAAATAAGAAAGATGACGCCTTAGCTACTCTAGCTTCGACATTGACTCTGCCCGGCCAGATAAAAATCACTATCTGCCAAAAATGGATAGTACCGCCAAATGAGAACGAGGATGAAGAAAGCAAGCTCGAGCATTTGGTAGTCGTCGCTGAAGCTATGAAGGTTAATTGGCGATAAACCATGATCGACTATTTATGTTACGGGATACTTCCAGAAGATCCAAGAAGAAAGACTGAAATTCGTCGGCATGCCCCTCGCTTCTTTTACTACAAAGACACTTTGTATCCAAGACCATTTGAGGGAGTTCTCTTGCGTTGTTTAGGGGAAGATGAAGCAACTCAAGCTATGCAAAAGGCACACTCTGGATTTTGTGGATCACATCAATTTGGGACGAAGCTCCACTTCCACATTAAGAGGATGGGTTACCACTGGCCGACAATGGTGAAAGATTGCTTAGATTATGCTCGAAGATGCAAGGCTTGCCAATCTCACCAAATTTTATACACCAACCACCTAAAATGTTACACCCTACTGTTACATCTTGGCCATTTGACGCTTGGGTATTAGATATTGTTGGACCACTTCCAAAATCTTTTGGAGGACATCTATACATCTTGGTCGCAACTGATTATTTCTCAAAATGGGCTGAGACCGTCGCTCTCAAGGAAGTGAAGAAAGAGAATGTTGCAAACTTCATTCGAGTGAACATTATATATCGTTTTGGCATTCCTAGTTATATAATAACAGATAATGGCAAACCGTTCGATAACAAATTGATGACCAAGATCTGTGAACTTTTTGGCTTCAAGCAACGTAATTCGTCAATGTATTATGCTGCTGCAAATGGACTAGCTGAAGCATTTAACAAGACACTTTGCAACTTGTTAAAGAAGGCCGTCTCCAAGTCTAAAAGAGATTGGCATGACAGAATGGAAGAAGCTTTGTGGGCATATCGTACAACTCATCGCACGCCGACAGAAGCAACTCCTTATTCTCTTGTTTATGGAGTCGAAGCAGTTCTTCCTCTTGAGCATCAAATACCATCCTTGCAACTCACTGTCCAAGAAGGTCTTACTGAAGAAGAAAACACGTGTTTGCACCTTGAAGAACTTGAGTCCCTTGATGAAAAAGGCTAGAATCTCAACAATGTCTTGAATGTTATCAAGCTTGTGTTTCTCGTGCTTTCAACAAAAAGGTTCGCTTAAGGTCCTTCCAAGTTGGCGATCAAGTTCTTGCAGTAAGAAGACCTACTATCACCTCTTGCAAATCTGGGGCCAAATTCACTTCAAAGTGGGATGGTCCATATGTTGTGCAAGAAGCCTATTCAAGTGGTGCTTAGAAGTTAGTTGATGCAGATGGCATGAGAATTGGCCCTATCAATGGGAAATTTTTTAAGAGGTATTATCCTTGAAGAATAAACGTTCCTTGACGAACGAGCCTAAACTGCAAGTCATGAAGCTCCTTAATGCGCGAGCCAAAACTGCATGTTGCTACGCTCCTCGGCGCACGATCCTAAACTGCAAGTCATGAAGCTCCTTAATGCACGGGCCTAAACTGCATACTGCTACGCTCCTCGACGCACGAGCCTAAAATGCAAGTCATGAAGCTCCTTAATGCACGAGCCTAAACTGCATGCTGCTACGCTCCTCGACTCACAAACCTAAACTGCAAGTCATGAAGCTCCTTAATGCACGAGCCTAAACTGCATGCTGCTACGCTCCTCGACTCACAAACCTAAACTGCAAGTCATGAAGCTCCTTAATGCACGAGCCTAAACTACATGCTGCTACGCTCCTCGACGCACGAGCCTAAACTACAAGTCATGAAGCTCTTTAATGCACGAGCCTAAATTGCATGCTGCTACGCTCCGTAACGCAAGAGTCTATACTGCATGTTGCAATGCTCCTGGCCCGCATGAGCCTAAACTACGAATGACACCCAAAAAAAAGGGAGTCCTCTACGTTGAAAACCTCAAAAGAGGCGGCCTAGGCAAAAGTTAGGACATAAATATTTTTTACCTATTTTGAACTACGTTATGACTTGATCCTCTTCACCGAGGTACGTAGGCAGCTTAGAGTTTCGTTCTAAGTTCAGTCGCATAAGCTTAAAAAAAGAGAAGTGTGTTTCAACGTGACATGATCATCAAAATTTGAGCTGAAGCATCACGTTGATTACTCAAATAGGCGCATATTGCAGAAAGAAAGAAGGAAATTTGTGTCGAGCCAAAATGGACATTTCATTGCTTCAATGCTACAAGGATATGATACATCATTGTCAAGAGACTAAAAGGATGAAGATATTTATACTTCGTCCTATACGAAGAATCTAAGTCATAAAAGCAATTGACAAGAAAGGTTGTCCCTATCTTGTCTTGAATGCCTTTCCAAGTTCGCTTTATTTCTTCAAGACATGATGCTATCATAAAACTTTGCGTAGTTGAATCTAATGTGAATTGTTCCCCCATCATGTGGCCTAACTATGAAATTTCTAATTTGGGTTCCGAAGGGTCAAGCAATACATGATCTAGAACTTTGACTAATCCAGAAGGTCTTATGCCACAAAGACTTCTATATGCATGCAAATATGGAAGTTCACTGCAATCATGTCGACTTCGCGCATTTTCTGTTGGTAGACCAAAAAAGGTTCTGCCATGAAATTCATAGATACTTTAGCTCTCTGAGTTTAATTTCTAATGGCATGAACGGATTGCAATTCCGACATTCCAAGCTCAAGATACAATTATTTTCGCCGAAGGTACGCAAATCTGGAAATTCACTGCAGTTGAGTCGACTTCGCGAATTTTCTGTTGACAGTCCGAAAGGAGTTTTGTTATGAAATTTATATGAGTTTTAGATCTCTGAGTCTAATTTCTGACACCACAAACATATTGTAATTCCGATACTCCTAGCTCAAGATGCAATTATTTTTGCCTAAGGTACGCAAATCTGAAAATTCACTGCAGTTAAGTCGACTTCGTGAATTTTCTGTTGACAGTCCGAAAGGAGTTTTGTTATGAAATTTATATGAGTTTTAGATCTCCGAATTTACTCTCTGACACCATAAACGGACTGTAATTCTAATACTCCTAGATCAATATACAATTATTTTTGCCGAAGGTACGCAAATCTGAAAATTCACTGCAGTTGTATCCACTTTGGGAATTTTCTGTTGGTAGACCGAAAAAGGTTCTGCCATGAAATTCGCAGGTACTTCAGGTCTCTAAGTTTTATTTCTAACAATGAAAACGGATTGTAATTCTGACACTGCTAGCTTAAGATATGACTTTCTTTAACAAGAGCGCGCGAAGCAACAAAGTCAACATAGAAGACATGTACTGAAATTTAAGAAAGAAATAATTGGGAGTAACGGAGGGAATCCAGGTCTCAAAGAGAGATACCACATATTAAAAATAAAGACACTTTTATTGCTCCAAGACATAAGTACTCCATTACACGATATTAGTTATGAAAATAAAAATCGTAAGTCGAGAAT